TAATGTAGTTACTATTTTTAAAGTTACTAATAAAGATATGAGCAAGGCCTCACCTTAATACCAAAAAAAAAAAAAAATTAATGATCTATCTATTTGTTCGAAATTATTATTATAGAATGACATCATAATTTCACTAACTGGGTTAGAACAATCTAATCAACCTGACCCATCTAAGCGTTGGATTGATTTTAAGGATGTGTTTCTCCGAGATGCATTTAAAACAGTAAAACGAGACATAGCAAGATATCGGGTGGAAGACCACCATGTTTTAAAAATAATAAAGGAACGGCACAGACACCAAAGAGAAAAATATCTCAAGCAACAGAACTCGGTGTTGGATAGTCAAGATCATGCGAGGATGCGCGAGAACGGAAGAATAGAATTTGTAAGCCTTTTTTTTAGGATTAATATATTTATTTATATAAATATCAGTACTGCCTTATGTATTTTTTAATTATATAATTTATAGAAAGTTAAACAACGAAAGAAGAGGTTTTACCACCTTCAAGAAACTAATATCGAACATTTTACTAGCCTTCTTCCTATCGATATTTCAAGAAATCAGACATTAAAAGACATTAAAAAAATAATGGAAGATAGGACCTATCATAGTGATGAATCTTTGGAAACTGATGAAGAAGCAGCCAATGAAAAATGTCGACTAGGAATTTATATCATTCCTGAAAAAGAACAAGACAAGCACAACCACATCGTTAAAGTGGTAGATAAAAAATGGTGTTCTTCTAAAGTAACTATTTCAGCATTAAATATTCAAAATTTCTTAGTTAAATATCAGTACTATATATTTTTTTTTTAGTTAAAAAAAATCTTGACGACATGCGAAATTAGTTCTGCAACAAAAAATACAAGCAAAATAAAAAGACGTTGTTAGGAAAGTGCTAATGTCAACAGCAGTACTTCATCACCACTCAGGACCCCCGAATGGTGTATTTCATGCTTATACAATGTGATGCCTGGTAGTGCATCCGATATTAATTCCCTATCGCCTGATAATTCCCCATCGCCTGGTAATTCTTCTTCGCTTGGTAATTCCCCAACGCCTGATAATTTTCCAACGCCTGGTAATTTCCCAATGCCTAGAAATTTTCCAACATCTAGAAATTCCCCAACGCCAAGAAATTCCCTAACGCCAAGAAATTCCCCTGTAAAATCGCTTGGTAATTCTCCTGCCCCCCAAAAAATCTAATAATGCTGCTGCTGCATCTAGCTCCGGTAATTCTCCTCCCAAAAAAAATCTAGAAATGCCGCTGCTTCTAGATCAAGATCTGGTAATGCATTTACTATAAATTTTAATAACCTTTTCTTATAGTAACTGGAACAATCTAATTTTTTTTTTTCGTTATAAATCGTGAAGCAGTAGTCACTAATAATAATGCTGGTAATGCCAATAAGGGCAAAGCCGTTAGTAAAGGTAAATATTTAATATATTTGTTATTGTAACTAGTATATGAATTATTATGTTAATAAAATTTTCATTTATTCGATACTTCATACAAAATATGGAATTTTATGACAATTCACAAGGTATTAATTATATTGTATCAATAATATTTTCGTATTACTAACATTTGATTTATTTTAATCTTTTATATTGGTGCTTATTATTTATTTATTTATTTTACAATTTAAAATCCGCGCATAATCCCGATAGTCATATTTCTAGGTTTACTAGACCACGTTATAGTAGAGGTCGTCCATATCATAAAGGTGATTCTAGAACTAGCAAAAAAGCAAAAAATTAAATAATTGTTTTTTATATGTTTAATTATAATATATAAATGTATAATATTTTGCATAATAAATAATAAAAATCATATATTTTATTAAAATCGTGTATTTATAAAAAAGCAAGTGCAGTAAATAAAAAGTGTAATTGTTTTTGTATAGAGTATATATATTCATCAAAAAATAGTAATATAACAGGATATAAAAAGTAAAATATTAGCTTCTTATAATATCCCAATATTCAGCTTTAATAATCCAGCTATTCATCTTTTATTATCCCGATATTCATCTTTAATTATTCTGATATTTATCTTTAATTATCCCGATATTCATCTTTTATTATCCCGATATTCTTCTGTTATTCATCTTTAGTTATTCTGATATTCATCTTATATTATCTGGTTATTCATCTTTAATTATCTGGTTATTCATCTTGAATTATCCCGTTATTCATCTTTTATTATCCCGATATTCATCTTTAATAAGCCCGATATTCTATTTAAAATGGATTTTATAAAGATGAATATCGGGATGTTATAAATATATAAAGTATTGATATCGGGATATTAATATATACCCTTTATTTATCTTATATTTATCTTTTATTTTTACCGGTATTCATCTTTTATGTTACTATATATCCGCAAAAAACTGTAGCAAACCAGGTTAAAAGTGGAAATATAAAGGATTGATATCAGGACGTAAAAAGGTACCTTTATTTAGCTGATATTTATTTTATGCACCAATATAAGCAGCATAACAGATATATAATTATTATATAAAGGATCAATATTGAGATACTAATAAATACACTTTATTTATCTTATATTTATCTTATATATTGTACTGATATTTATCCTTTATGTTACCATACATCTGCCAAAAAACTGTAGCAAACTAGGTTGAGAGTAGATACATAAAAGATAGATATCGGGATGATAAAGGGATCCTGTTATGTATCCTTTATGTATTTATTGAACCTGTGATACTTCCTGACAATCCTCTGGTCAACAACAACAAAAATCGAACTACAGCAAAACGTATAGAAAAGCGATAAAGTGGATACTAAAACTTGGTTCTATAAATAGAAGCAGCTTGTTGTTAACAAAGTCTAAGCATCTAGATGTGAAATACCGAGAAGCAGGCATCAAAAGAATATGGACGGTTTTCTTTGGAGTCAAGTTTTCTTTCTGGTCAACTTTCCAAAGTATTCAGCATCCAAACCAGAAGGTTTATTCTGGGAACAAGTTTGTAGAAGTAGCCAACGTGCACTCCTAAGTGGTAGAAATAGAGAAGCTAGACTATACAACTGTAACTCTTACAAGAAGAACCTCACATACTCTCGTTGGCCCACCACTTTTTTTCGAGGAAATTTTTGTAAAAAGTGGGCATTTTAGCTTATCCCCTCCAAATGATCAACATCATATGTACCAAACAAGTCGGCATTGTTTATCTCCCAAATTAGAACGTGACAACAAACACATGTATACACATGCCTCGAATGCAATAGATATCTGTACAAACGATGCTCCGAGACTCTGTTCCGACCTCTCTACCTTAAGCTGGTCAATGAAGTTTTTCTTATCGGGTTTTTACTTTCGCATACTAGTTTAGAGAAAAATAGAAGTAGAGACTAATTTGTCTAGTCAATATATAATTTTTCCAAGCTATCCACAGGCTTATAACCGTGGCATTAAGTTTAGCAAATTTTCTGTTTGTTTTTGTTTTGTTTTTTTTCGATATTCCTTTACCCCCTTTTTCTTTCGTGTTTGTATTTTTTTTTATCGTAGTCTTCTATACCTCTGTGTTTTTTTTAGTTTGTTTGTTTTTTCTGATTTTGCTTCTTGATGAGTGGGTAGCCGCCAGCCGATGAACAACAAAAAAAAAGTCCTTAGTGAGTTAAGGACCCTGAGGGAGGCCAAGAGCTATTGAGGCAGGTCACACCTGATGTATAAAATCATGTGGGTGAGTTCTTCGTTTGGTTGGATCTACTGTAGTTAGAGATAAAGAACATATAATTTTTACGTGAAATTTTGAATAACTTGATCCCAAATAAACAAGGGCAGGACAGCCGAATTAGAAAATAAATTAGACTAGTAATAGGAGTAGTGATTTGTTTAAAGAATTTTATTTTTGTATTATTGAAGATTTTTGTTTCAGTGAGGCTGACTATATGTAGATTGTGGTTTAAACAGTAGTTTTTTTATAAAAGTCATTTTTCTGATATGTTATATCCTTGTACATTGTAAGTACCATAAACTGCCATATACAAGACCTGGGTCTGTTTCATTTTATCAATTTTAAAACCTATTATTAGACCCGTGGGTCTCTTGTATGGGTGTGGGTCTGATAATTGGGAGTTTATTTTATTTTATTAGTATTTTTCTATATTTATACCCTAGGTCTTTTATATTTTACCAAAACTTTATCTTACTTTATAGACCTGGGTCTAGTATATAGGGATCTAATGCCTGGAAGATCTTGTATACGGCAGTTTATGGTAGTAATATTTAAGTATAAAGAAGAGTTGTGATTTTATAAGTTTTTTATATATATAAGTTAATTATTTTGGTAGTGATAGATGTTGTTAGGAGTAAGAGGATATATTAGTTCTGTTTTGTTGTCTAAAAATAAATAATTTTTAATATTTGGTTCATTAAATTGATGAGTTAGAGAAGCAGAATATGTAGTAGTATGTGATTTGAAAGAATTGTTTTATGGTTAGTTGAGTATGATTTTAGAGTATAGTTGTTTTGTTGAGTAGATATATGTATACTTTATGATATAAATTATATATAGAGAATGTTAAATTAGGTTTAAGATTTTTTGATACATTTTATTGTAGGTGCTAAATAAATGTTGCAATTGTGATTTCAGTTGTTATTGTTGGTAATTTGTAATATTATAAGAATTTGTTATAATATGTTGACAAGTTGCAGAATTTTAAAAATGTTGGTTGCAGACTTGTCAGATTAGTATCTTTTATATGATCGCTTATCATATACCTAATTCTTACAGTTTACAAAAAACTTGTAGTCTGTTCTATACATTAAGTCTGACCGTCATTTTCACAAGCCTTCAGATATAGAGACTTTACTGCCTGCCTCTATATATCATTCCCCTTATTAACTACAATAGGTATATCTTTTAGTAAGATGACAGCTGTATTAATGTTACATGTAAGATACCTTTTTAATTTTAATATTTGTGTTTGTGTTTATATATAGTGTGTTTGTAATGTTTTTGATGAAGTTTACATATAGTCCTACTCTATATGACTAGAATACTCTTATACAGATTTATAATAGGTTTGCACTGACTTTTCTACAATGTTCAGAGATACATTTATATATACCAGCTTGTATTTCTCTATATTCCTAATTATGACTCTCTGCAGTACAGGTTTTCGAATATAAATACTGTATTCAGAACTTTATAAATAACTTTTCTAATTGAAATTAGCCTTGCAGAATCTTTATGCAATAGGTTAGATAACTCTCATACAGATTTATCATGGGTTTGCACTAACTATAATATGATGTTCAAAGATACATCTATATATACCAGCTTGCATTCCTCTATATTCCTAATCAAGGCTCAGGCTTTTGGATATAAATACTATACATGGGTTACTAATACATTTTTTAAATCAAGTTGATATAATCACAATTACAATTAGAAACCAGCACTAATTAGGTTAATATATTCTTCTTATAGAAGGATATTCAAGATATAGTTTTTAAATATCATCAATAGTAGAAATTGAACTCTAAATCTTAATACTCAGGATATAACAACTAGACTACTTTACTAAATCACCACATCTTATATATATTTATTAATTTAAGGGTAGAGTGTATGTAGATCATTTTTCATATGATCTACATAGTATTACAAATTTTTATATAAAAAGTAAAAATTCACTACAAGCAAAACTTTTTAATGCTTTAATGAATTTTTACCAAAATTTCATAACATGCAGACAATAACTTCTATTTATAATAATGATAGTTTTGAAACTTGTTTTATTTAAGAAAATTCTACTTCATATATTACCAAAGTTTTCTGAGAAGCCTCTATGTTTTTCTGAAGTTACACAAGAAATTGCTAATTCTGATTGGTCAAATCATATGATGTTTATATATAAATCATATGATATCATATAAAATTAGTTACACAAAATTGATCTACAATTTATTTTATATGAAATTAGAAATTTGTACACCCTATCCTTAAATCAAGATTATTGATTTTTCTATAGTATTAATTACAAAACTTCTATAATAATAAACTAAATATATATTTAATTCTAATTCTATGTCTACACAAGTTTTTAACCTTTTATACAATTAAAACTTCTATAGTAATAATATTAATTTTTTTTTTTTTTTTTTCCAATTATCGGCAGCCTCACCGGTATCTTTATTAGATCAAAGCATATATATACATATATTTAACTAT